TGGTCGCCTCTTTGATGCTCTTGAGCCTGAACTGGGTTCTTCGAAACCATGTAAGGGCTTCATTTGGTGAAAAGGGTGGAAGGGGGATGGAGGCGACATTCAGTTCAGTGAAGAGGGTGGCTGCGTTGGAGTTCATGTCGTTTCCGGGGTCACCAATGTGGAGAGGCCTAGGGCGAGGTAATTTGAGAGCCCTAGGCCCTGAGCAGACAGGAGAATTAAACTCAAGTTGCAGAGAAGACTGTGAAGTGTGTGTATTTTTGGCGAGAAATGCAGTATAAATACAAAATGAGAAATGTAGCTTGGCCGCGGCTGAGTGCGCCGCGGCTTCATCGTTTTTCCCGTGTCGCGGCGAATCAGCACCGCGGACCTCGGCATGCTTGCCGGCTAGCTGACTCGGTGTAGGGGCAATTATGCAGAGCAAGGTGCGCCAGTACCGAGTGAGGTTAGGCAAGTACGCCTAGCGAGGATGCACCGGTGTTGACTGATGCAAGTACCCAGAGCGAGGCAGCGCCGGTGCCGTAGTGATTGTGGTGTCCGCCACACCCCCTCTTTGACGCTTACGAACAACTGTAACCATTCCGAATCACCGACCCAAGTTATTACTCAGTCCCTAGAAAGCACCTCGTCCACATCTCCAACATTCTCCTCTTCATCTCTTGCTACACAACTCTCTACAATGTCATCCCCCTCTTCCCTTATTACTACTCTTCATCCTTATCCCCCCCCCCTGCAAAACTACACCACTCCATACCACCCCATCTTCTCTCGCCCTCGTCCTTCTGCTACCTCTACCTCTGCAGACCTGAGTACTATTTGACCCAGCAAAGTGGGCTCGATCCTTTGTGATTTCCCCCACAGCCCCCTATTCTGAGAATACCCTTCTCATTCAGCAGTGCCTCCAGAAACAAATAGGGAAGGTTACTTTTCGCATTCGCTCTGATCGTTCACGCCTTGTCACGGTTACATCTGAAGCCCAAGCTCGTGCACTATCTACTGGCAAACCCTTTCCTGCCGAACCTTACCCATCTCATAATACTTGTACTGGAACTGTTTCTATTTCCCCAAATGAATATGATGGAGAAGCAGTAGTGTTACACTCTTTCTCCCAGAGGCCAACATAAATCCCACGTTAATATTGCCAAGATTAGCTTCCATAGACAAGACCTCCCCCATGAGGTTTATATTGGTGGATTGTCTTATCATGTCCGACAACATGGACCCCTTCCTCAGAAATGTTGGCGTTTTAGCCACCCAGCCGAACCTGTCGCTCCACAGCCCGCTGCCCTCTATGTGCCCAACCTGGTCATGACCGTTGAAATTGCCCTGCTCAATCTCGTACATGTGCCAATTGTGGAGACTCCCATAATGTGTTTTATAGGAACTACCCTGCCTATAAGTTTGAGTGTGAGGTAGCAGTCCTCCATCATACCCCATCCTCTCTACCACTTCCACTTGAATACTCACATGAATCCTTTCTATCACAAATGTCCTCCAGACCCCTCCTCTCCAGACATTTTTCCTTATGCTTCACCACCTTCCCCAATCTCCCTTTCTTAACCCCTGGATTCTTCAACTACTTCTCCAATAGCCACCTCTTTTTTCCTTTATCAATGTCCCTACTCCTTCCCCAGTCACAGATACACTGCAATTCACTCAGTTGCTCTACCCCCTCATATTCCCCCTAACTTCCCAAAATACTTCATCCTCAACCAACCAAACCAAAACCTCCAAAACCCAATTCTTTTCCACACACCTTATCCTCTCAGCCACCTCAACCACCCATACCACCCAAACCAAGCCCCCAAACCTCATCCTTCCCCACTATCCCTCCCACTCCCTCCTGGATGTACACGTGAATCTATTCCATCACAATACTCTTCCTCAAACCCCATCATCCCTATTGAACCCCCAGACACAACTCCTTAACCTACTCCTGATCCTTTATCTCAAACCTCAGACACCTAATCCCTTACTACCAAGACTATATCTATCACTATCACCTATTATCTCTATTCCTTACCCAGTCACAGATTCACTTAATCGCTTTACCACCTCAACCTCCTTCCTTTCCCTTTTTGTTACCATACTTTACTATAACACCCTCTAATCTTTGACATCTAACACCTTTCCCTCCTCCCGGATGCTTCTATTTTTCAACAGCTATCTGTATTCTTCCTTGAACATTTCTCTTATACCTTCCCCAGTGACAGATTCACTATAATTCTTACAATAGCCCTACCTCCTTAACCCTCCCCTCTATACTAATTTCTGCTCCAGTTCACTTTCTCCCCTTTTTTCCCCTTTTCACTACCCTATCTTATAACACTATTAAACCTTGACATCCAACAAATTTTATTGTAATCTGTAACTCTTTGCCCTTTCCGACCTTTGATGGCTAGCACATTTATTTTCAAACATTAAAAAAATAAATGAATAAATAAATAAAAATTACCAGTCTCTCCAGAGGTGCATATTCAGATCCCACCGCAGCCACCAGATATAAAAGGCTATTAACCTCCTATCTTGATGCTGGTGGGCAGGAGTAATCCTTGATTACAGCTTAACTCTTTATTGTTAAGAGTTTACACACAAGTAGAAATAAACGCGATACAAGCAAGGCTGGTCAGACCTGAGTGGTTCCCACAGATGTCCACCCTAGAGAGGGAGGTAGATCGGGCGGCAGTAACGCGGTGCAGCAAGTAAAACTGAGTGAGGGTCAAGGTGTCAGTGCTCTTGAGTACTCAGGCTCGGTCATGACCCATATTATGGAACATCATGATGGGAGCATGGCTTGGTTTATTAATAGAATCAGATGAACAGCATAGTGACCATGAGGTTTGGTCTTTAATACACTTGGCTTGGTATGCAGCATTGCTATGAAGTAAGCTCAGTTAGCATACTGCATACCATACTGCACTATTAGATGGGAGGATCATAATCTTATACATCAGCCATCTCATCTTCATTTAAATAATGTATTCTTAAGAACTCAAGTGTATTTGAATCAAGTGACCAAGGATAACTTTGCATTCAATGTTTGCTAATCATGTTGTTTAAATAGTAAATATATAAGCAAAGGGTAATCTACTTTGTGTGTGACTGAGTCTTCATGTCCTAAGTTTATCTCTATCACAGGATAAAGATAACAGAATGCAAAATTATTTCTGTGGTTTAAAAAAAGGAATTTCCAAGAGTAATGCATTAGCAACTCCCTAGTACACACATTATCAATTGGGAAGGGAGCAATGGATATTATTTTCAGAACTACCCATGGAATGTATTTTTCCGCATTTTCTTATAAAACTCCGGCAAGAGTTTTCTTGATACTGTCAGAATGGCTTAGAATTCCTGGAAAATATAGATCCCTTTTTTTTTTTTACTTCAAGAAACCATGCTCAATAATCAATATAAGTGCCCATTATCTATCAACAGGTACGCAAATCTGGGTCACCCATTTGGGGTAAATCCTGATTCATGCTGTTTCAAGTTGACAGCAACGAAAAGTTCAAAGACAATTGTTATCTTGACTGTCCCACCATTAGTTTGTAGTATGGTTTATTTGAATAGGAATGCTATGTACATACTAACTTCCGTTTTCCATTACCTTGAACATCACATTGATAATTTTCTCTTCTAACTAGTATTCTCGGCATGTCAACGTTATTTACAAAGCTCTTGCTGCATCTTTTACATGTTTAAAAGATCCATCTAGGTGAAAACAAACGCTGGAAGACATTGAAACATTTTATGAAAGGTGTGGTTGTTTTTTTTTAATGACAGAAAAAGAAGTACTATACAAGTCCTGTTTTTCAAATGTAGAAGTGCTACTGCTTTAATGTGTGTGTTACTTTTGAAAGTTATTTCTTAAAGCACACATTTTCCCCATCAAAGAAATGCGGGAATGGCCTTTGTTCAGTTTACAGAAATGAAAAATCTAAAGAATAATGATAGCATATGTTGCATATATTGATATTTTCTTTTTTTGTAAGTATATGTAAAAACCCTATAAAATCTGTTGGGCTTTAAAAAATTCCATTACCAGTTGCTATGCTGAGGGTACCTAACAAGAGCTTACCCCCTCTAAAAAGTAATAAGGCCTTCCTCAGGCTGATGTTTTTGAACAACTAACTTGGGTCTACTCATCATTCAGAAAGACAATAACGAAGCTGCATTTGGTACACTATTCTGAAAGTCATATTTACAAAAAAAAAAGAGACTAGTTCCATCTCTGCAAGTTTAAAATTCAGTGTGAGCAAAGGAAAACACTGAACTCAACCGAAAACTAAAGAATCCAAACAAATATCTAGCATCTTCTCCTGGCAAGAATGTAAGGATAATGGGCAAATGACACAAAAATGAAAAAAAAAATTACAAATGTAGTATACTGCTGAAAATACAATATACATATTAGGTCACTGCACCAAATTGTACATAATATATAATCACTGAAAATGCTTAAAAGCATGCACTGCTGATAGGAAATGAAAAAATTAAAAAAAAAAATATTAGCATATAGTTTCCATTGCAGATAGGAAGTGGAAACTGGAAAATATGAGCACATTGTCTCAATTGCAAATACCTGAACTTCCCTTTTTCTGGTAAGCCTTAATCAGGATACATTTTCTGGCCACTGGAGATGGGCCTCGTTCCCATCAGAAAGATAGTGGGCAGGACATTTATTCTACTTTATAAAATTTGTATTTTTTCCTCATGTAAGCTAAAAAAAAAATACATTTACGAGAATGCATTACTTCCGCGAGTTATAATGTAAACATAGGATCGAGTTCCTATCATTGTCTTTCTGAAGGAAATGAGACCAGTCCCATCTGTATGTCAAAATTATGTTCTAAATAAAAATAAGATTTTTTTTCTCCATCACTTATGATCACAATGGTAAAAGCTGGAAATCGCTCCTCCCAAAAAATCTGAAAAAAATAGTTCGCTGAAATCAAGAAGATAAAGATAACAACAGCAAAAATGAAGGATAATAAAATCCAATA